AATTGTTCTTTGAGCTCAATTCGACCTTCCAATCAACATTTAAAGCATATAATAACTCAAACTTCAAATATACTTGTGCTAACATGATACAAACATCAAATTATATTGTTATGAAGCTCAATTTCATGAATCAAACACTTGTGTGTCCCAAATTAACCCAAACTCATTTCCAACATAACACATTCATGCATTCGAAGCTCCTATTCTCATAAATTGAACATGCATGTGATGTATTACTCTCATTCTCAACTTGGATGATACAAATGGTGATTACAACATGAGCTTTAACCAAAACTCTACATGAATCATGTATTTCATGCTCAAACATGCAAATTCAAAACAATTTCTTACATGCATGCGCATATTGGCCCTCAATTCAACAAAACCAATTCAATTGCATCATGCTCAATTAAATTCATGTTCTTGACCATTATTCCAATTTGGATTCACAAAATTACAACTCAATAGTCATGAATCTACTTACCTAGAGGCTTTACTTTCCCAAATTATGGTCAAATTTGGAGTTTAAATCCTCCACTCTTCACAAACTTGAGCCAAACACCCAACTCTCCTTCTTCCTCTCTCTAGCCGACCCCTTTCCCTTTTCTTAGAGTTGATAATTAGCCAAATGAAGCTAAGGAGAGAAATTGAGTGTATAAAGGCCCCTTATAAGTTCCCACTCAACACATTATTTTATTATAAAACAATTGGGCACTTAATTCATTAATTTAATCTGATTAATTTGATCCAAATCAATTTCTAATTAAACTTCACCGTAGGCTCTAAAAATTACGCCAATCACAATGGCACAATCAATTTCGGGTTCTTTGGCCGATAAGGCCTTCAATTTAATTTCCAAAGCAGATAATCAAGCAGATATTCCTACGGTGAACAGATAGAAATTCAAAACCACATATTTTCGCATAATGGCACAGAAAATCATATTAAACACATAATCATACTCATATTAAGGAACAATTAACATAATAAGGGACAGGGTTATCACAGTCGCACTCTTCTATTGATTTCTTCTTTGTTCTTCTTCTTCTTTCTAGTAAAGATGATGTGGAAGAGAAGTGTGTTGGCTCCAGCCCACATGGAGGAGTAGTTAGAGGTCGGCTTTAAGTCCAGAAGTAGGAGAGAAGAGGGAAGATGGCAGTTGGCAGCCCAATAACTTTTTTTCTTCACTTTGTATTCCCTCAGTTGTGTAAAAATTAAGGTGAGGAGGAGGGTCTGAGTACAAGGAAACACAGAGTGTATGTAATCTGTGAGTGAGAGTGCTATAGAGAGAGAGTGTGTGAGGTGTGAGTGTTGTAAACTCCCTCTGGGAAATTCTATAGTGGATATCTCTCCCATGGATGTAGGTTACTGCCGAACCACGTAAACCTCTTGCGTTATTGTGTGTGATTGATTTATGAGTGTGTCTTAATCCTAACAAGTGGTAGCAGAGCCTCATTGGTCGATTTTCAGAAAAACAAGGTGTGTTTTTCAGAATTGCATAGAAATCAAGTTGCTCGAAATTCACTTTTGAGCATACCAGAAGGAAGCTCTCAACGAAAGGAGTCCAGAACTGCAAAGCAGAGCCCCAGAATAGCTTCCACGTATCACCTGAAAATGGCACATGAATCCTAGTCTCACACACATGTCATACGTGCCTTGAGGAGCACCGGCGTGTCATTCCAATCTTAGACACGTGCCTGACGCGCGGCAGAAGGAAGACGCAGAGTGTTCTGCGCGTCAGTGCTACGCCATCGACACGTGTCTACCACATCATCGACACGTATCTGCCATGTGTCTACCATGTGTCTACCACGTCAGTGCCATGTGTCTGTCATGTGTCTGCCACGTCAGCATGTTGTTGACCAGTCAAATAGTTGGGTTGACCCGACTCGACCCAGAGATGGAGGAGTTATCCAGTGTTACGTGGCTACAGTAGATCCGTAGATCTGAACCGTTGAACATATTTTGGCTGTTTGGAATCTGATTTTGGTGATCCAATAGTGATTTCCAACTATTTGGAGTATTCCGGAGAGATCCATACAGTCAGATTTTTGAATCAAATATCTCAGGACTTGTTGCGCTCTTCTATTGATTTTTTCTTTGTTGTTGTTCTTTTTCCTAGTAAAGATGATGTGGAAGAAAAGTGGACCCATCCCAAGTCACCACATCAGACGGAGCAAGGCTGTTCAATGGTGCTGGTGATGAAACACCATGGCTTGATATGGACATGCTCGTATTTAAACACCCCTTACTTCCACTAGCACCAGCACCCGCACCAGCACCAGCACCAGCACCAGCACCAGCACCAACACCACCATGGCCGGTACCACCAAGCTTTGGATTTCCATGATCATCACCACCGTCGTGAACCACCAAATTAGCACCAGGAAGCCTATGAAACGAGGGGATTATGAATGTAGCCACCACTAGCACCACCTTATTCACCGCCGTAACATTGCTGCTAACCACCCCTGCAAGCACATGTCCCTGTTGACCTACAAGAGTTATACCAAAAGAACAAAAACCACCAGAAGATGAAGAATTAGCAGAAGATGATGATGACGGTGCTGATGAACCCAGAAAATTTTCGGTGATAGAGATAATATTGAATTTACCATGGAGGGTCAACGACGGCGCGTGAAAAATTTGGTTGCAGAGAGTGATGTTGAACACAAACCCAGAAGCACTCATTATGATTACACCACCCAACTGGCGTCTACGCTTGTACTAAACCACTGTGTCTATGACATCTGACTTGGCGGCGATCTCTAGCACCGCCGCTTTCACGTCGGGGTCACCGTCTCTGGTGGTCAGGACAATTGCTGGTTTTGATTTTTTTTTTTTTGAGCCTGGTGGACGGCCGCGGGGCCTCCAGTTGGCGCCCTCCGCCTCGGCGGCGGGGCCATTGTTGAGAGCGTGTGAGGGATTTATTGATCGGATAAAAGGAGGGTCGTTTTGGTGGCTTTGCTCTTCATTTCTTTCTTCGAAGGTTTGGGAGAGAGATTGAACTTGGAGGAGAGATGATGGCCCAAAAGATTCAACCATTTTTGAGTGAGTGAAAGTTTGATTCTTGCGAGAGAGGCTTTTCCCTGAGTTTAAACTTATTCAAATTCAATTCAATTAGTAAATGAGTTTAATAATTAAATTTGACCTCAATCTATTTAATAAAAAAAGTAGAGCACAATTAAATTTTAAACCAATCAAGTTTGCTCAAGAATATTTGTGTTCAAACTACCTAGTAAAATTCTTTTTGTACTCTCCTTTGGGAGAGATGGTATGGTACCAAGAGTTGCAAACTAACTGAATGCTAGCTACTCGATTCATGCCCAAGTGCCAAAGTTGTACATCTTAGCTAACAACACCACACCAAGATGGTCTTGTTGTTTTTATCAAAATAGTAAAAAAAAATTGAAAACATAATTATCAATAATTTTTTAAAATGAGATTTAAAAATAAAAAATTCCATGGCCAACAACAACTAGTGTGACATTGTTTTCATTAGTCTAGAGCAACATATCATAATTGGAAAAAAAAATTCAAAATTTTAATATAGATTTTCTTAACAAAATAACATAATTTAAAAAAAAAAAAATATTTGAACGCATCTTAATTAGTTCTACTTTATAAAATTACATGTCCGCAATTCAATGATAAATTTGCTTACTTACCTAAAAAATATAGTCTCATCCTCAGTTTAACAAAAAATTTATGTACTTACCTATACGAGCGCTCATAATTTATTGATATGTTCACGAAGTTACCTAAAAAATTGACACCCTGGCTCACAATTCAACTACATTTTTATAATTTTTTAAATAATTTAATTAATGTCAGTTACGAAGTTACCTAAAAAATGACATCTATGTCATTTTTATAATTTTTGAAATAATTTTAGTTAATGACTATTCACGAAATTACCTAAAAAATGACACCCTGACTCAAAATTCAACTACGTCATTTTTTTTTTTAATTTTTTGAATGTTTTAATTAATGATACACTATTTTTAACTCTATAACACTTTCTTTTTTTTAAATTTTAATTTTTCAGCATTTTGCAAACAAAAGTAAAAAATATAAAGCATAGTATGAACATCATTATTAATTATTTTTGTAACGCCCTAAAAAAAATAGTACAATACAACCATTCACAAATTGTCATAAACATAGGAGAAATATCATCTCTTCATTCATCAGAGTTTCCTTTACAAAAGACATTACATGCATTACATTTTCATAAACATTAATCTTGAAACTATAGCATGTAACTCTAACTTTAAACAACAAAAATAAGTGTCCAAAGGGCTTACAGCTTTCCAAGGTAACGCATGGTTACAACAAAAGAAGAGTTCTAACTCTTTACATATAAAGCCCTTAGCTTGAAATTCTACATTTAACACCAAACAAAATATACAAAATGGAGTCTTCAACTCCTAAACCTCCCAAGCTATGTCCTTGGAGGTGGCATGTCCCCTGTACCTGAAAAATGGTGTCCCGAGTAGGGTGAGCCAAAGCCCAGTAGATATATGCTAAACAGTATATGAGAATTAACTAAAACATTAGCATCTGATAAATGTTTAACCCTTGAAAACTAGCTTACACCTTCTCCATAACAAATCAACATTGACATCCATACTTCCATTCATTTACATTTACTTATCCAAATCAATTCATGGCCATAGTTCATCATCATTTAAACAATTCAAAATGAGACTACAACTCATTTATCAACACTTCAATCATAAACATTTATTCATACACTTCCATTTCTTGCCATTTTACGGAGCTATGTCCGAGGGAACGGGCTCCCAAATATACATAAGATTTCAGGACTTTCACCGTGGACACTCCGGCCAACTTAATTATCAGTTGAGTCCATCCCCTATCTCCTCCCAAACAGTGGAGTACATCCCTATCTCCTCCCAAACAAGATACATATACAATGTATTTAAAAACTTTGTCATATACAATGACTAATCAAAACACATATTCAATGTTTTAATCCAACCGTCATATTCAATGACATAAATCAATCGATTAATTTCAATTTACCTAATCATCATGCAGTTTTTACAACAATCATGGCTATCCTCCACCGATAGCCCAAAACAGATATATCTAAATAGATAAATAAATTTCTAAACAGACAATTTATCACATTTTCCATAGGTGAGTGATTTATTAATCCAACTACACCGTTCAATCACAATTTCCTCCAATTTCATGATTCTCAAATTAATTTCATATTTTCACATTGATTTCATCATTTACACACAAATAATGTATATAATTCAAATTAGGGCATTCTCCCCCTTTATCAAATATTATACCAAAAACCAAATTTCATCAATTCTTCTCAAGTCATAACATGTTTAAGACCTCTCATGCCCATAAAGAACCTAAATAGAAAACACCTCTTTTATATATATATATAGAAACCAACCAAAATTTCACCAAAACCTTCCCAAAACACACCATTTATACAAGATGACAATATCTAGGTTAAAACCCATATAGGAGAGTAGAATATTCCTATCTCAAGCTTAGAAGAGGAAGAAGGAAGAAAAACCCAAAAGTCGACGAAGGAGAAACGAAGTTTTGCTTCCATCAAAATGAAGCCCTCGACAAGCTCTACAATGTATCTCAAAGGAGCAAGGTGAGGAGAGGCCTTCAAGCAAGTAGATCTAAGAATCTGAGTGAAAAGTGCTTTTTGAGAAAGAGAGAGAGAGAGAGTCTCACGGTTTAGAGGGAGAAAAGGGAAGAAAACATCAAGAAAAGGGTTAAGTGAGAGTCTATTTAAAGCACTAGGCAAAATTAGAAATAAGTCCCAAAGTCAACCCAAAATATTTGGTCAAAATTCCCAAAAAGTGGACGCCAAACCAATAAAAAAAATCTGGAGAAAAGGTCGCAGGTGTCAACCCCTACAACACATGTGTCGACCCCCAAGAAGAAAAGCTGGAACACTAAGTTTGACATCATAGCAAGTGTCGACCTTTCCCCAGGCTGGTGTCGACACCAAAATGCAGTGAGCAATTTCAGAACAAGGGTCGACCCTTCCCATATTGGTGTCGACCCTTGCGGCCAACACAAAGAGAAGGTGTTGACACCACCAAGACCGGTGTCGACACCAAAATGCAGTGAACAAATTCAGAACAAGGGTCGACCCTTCCAAGATTGGTGTCGACCCTTGTGGCCAACTAAAAGAGAAGGTGTCGACACCACCAAAACCGGTGTTGACCGCAGAACATGATTTTCAAGTTTTCAAACAACTTTTCAACGCGAACAAGCATGAATGAGCAATCCCAACAAGTTTAAATCAATTTGTACACCTCCAAAACTAAGGTACAACAACACCAAAGATTCCCAAATTAAAATAAAGGGTTCAAATACACTTACCAAAAGCTTTAAAGGACACAAAGTGCTACAACCTCCCCACCTTAGGAAATTTCGTCCCTGAAATTTTAAAACGAGTATTTAAAGCCATGATTAAACCAATCCCAACAATAATAATAAATCAATTTCATCACTATGACCCATCTACCGGTCATTCAATCTCTTCACAAGAGAACAAATCCCCAACATATATTACCAATATGCGTATTCCGAGATTTAACACATTTCAACACATACATCTCGTGTTTCCAAACATATTCAATGCTTATGACAAGCTTACATTTCCAAAGCTTGAAGAACATATGCAATGTTCAAATTTAACTTGTGTCTCCGTAACATACTCAACATTCACAATGTATTACAATCTTAAAACATATACAATGTTCTTATAGTTCATCAACAAAACAAAGTTTTCAACATATACTCAAACATTAACAAATAGGTCTGAATATTTCTCTTGGACCTCCAATTCTTGTTCCCAAGTCGCTTCCTCAACTCCGTGATGTTTCCACAATACTTTGACCAAGGGAATCGTATTGCCTCACAAGACTTGGTCCCGTCTATCTAAGACCCTCATCGGTCTCTCCTCATACGAGGCATCCTCATCTACCTCTAAGTCGGTCCAATCCAACACATGCAATGAGTCCGGCTCATACTTCCGAAGCATACTAATATGAAAACACGTCATGCACTCTAGAAAGTTGCGGAGGCAACGCCAAATGATATGTAACCTCCCCAATCCGCTCAAGGATCTCAAAAAGGCCAATAAATCGAGGGGATAACTTCCCACTCTTCCCAAACCTCATCAAACCCCGTCTAGGTGATATTTTCAAAAAGACATGATCGCCTACCTCAAAAGACAAAGGTTTCCTCCTGCGGTTGGCATAACTCTTTTGGCGACTCTGGGCTGTAACCAACCTCTTACGAATAAGTGCTACTTTCTCCGTCGTTTCCCGAACCAACTCTGGACCCAACAGAGGTGCATCACCCACCTCGACCCAACACACTGGAGATCTACACGGTCGGCCATACAAGGCCTCAAACGGTGCCATACCAATACTCGATTGGAAACTGTTATTGTAGGCAAACTCCACTAGGGTTAGGTGTCTCTCCCACGACCCCTTAAAGTCAAGGACACAGCCACGAATCATATCTCCAAGTATCTGAATAGTGCGCTCGGACTGCCCGTCAGTTTGAGGATGGTAAGCCGTGCTAAAAGTCAATCTAGTGCCCAAGGCACTCTGCAAACCCTGCCAAAATCGGGCAATGAAACGCGGATCTGTATTTGCGACAATCGACAC